ATTGGTCAACTCAAATGGCATGACCAAGAACTCGAAAGAACCATATCGAGTAAGAAGGGCGGTCTTGGGAATATCAATCCCCCTAACGAGTGGGATCCCAGTTCTGATATTGACCCTTAACGCCGTGAGATATAAGCTACTTACCCTCTGGAGTCTGATCAATACGTATCCCAGCCTTGCCAACGATTGCTCTTGTAATATCGACGAATGTCCCCTGTCGCTGTCGGAATGGTCACAAAACTGGCGGCTTGTAAGCCAACTTAGTCTTCAAAATACAAAAGCGTCTTCTGGCACTCCAGGCTCCATCACGAATGGTACACCCTTCTTTCGTAAGGGTGTGTAATAGGCGTCGCAATCTTTGAGAAGTCTGAATGAATTCCTATTAATATCAGCTAAACCCAAAAACGTTGTGAATCTCTGCTCACCATCTTCGGTGGCTCCCAATCAAGAACTGCGTTTGACCTTAGCCGTGGATCCACTGCTATGCCTCATTTACTGATGACGTCGCGCAAGGAATATGACTTCTGAAGGACAAAACTCGTATTTGCTGAACTTGGCATTACAGCTGATTCTCCTGAAGATGTCCTCATCTATCCAGTTTTAGATGCTCTCGTGATCCGCCTCCGATCTCGAGTAGATAAGAATATCATCGATGGAAAACGATCATGAACTGATCTAGAAGGGACGGAAAACCCCCGGTTCATCAATTCATGATTACTGCGGTGCATTGGATCAACCCAATGGCAATGACCAAAGAACTCGAAAGGAACCATATCCGAGTAAGAAAGGTGGTCTTTAGGATATCAATCTCCCCTAACCCGCAACTATGATAGCCAGAACGAAATCAATCTTCGAGAAATACTGCGCACCCTGCAACTGGTCAAACAAGGTCATCGGATCCTAGGTAAGGCGTACCTACTCCGGATAGTGACCTTGTTCCAACTGCTCTATAATCTATGCCATAATCTATTACTTCATCCTTCTTCTCACGAAGAGGACCGGTCTGCGCCCCACGGAGAAGTGATCCGAGTGAATAAAACCCTGGAGCTAATAATCATTCAACTGGTCTGAAAGCTCTCATCTCAGCTGGTGCCATACGATAGGCGTGCGCGCGGGATTCGGGTCTGCTTGGGCTGCAACTCAATGCAACCTCCACCTCTCTCACTGGAGTAATCCAGGTATGTTCCTGAAAGACATCTGATACTCCAGACAACTCTAGTCTCCAATAACTCAGTAGCACCCGTCCCGTCGCATCACCTCCTCGATGCTACGCCAGAAATGACTCCGCAAAGTCGGTTGCCCTGAGAGGCGGCTACAATCACCTCGGGACCCGTCGGTACGCTCACAACTTGTCTGTCTTTCCAAAGCAAGTCAATGCTACATTGGTAGGAAGACAACCAATCCATGCCAGGATTGGACATCGACTCGGACATATGAAACACTATCAAATCGACTATGAACTGGCCGACTGCGTCTAAACTGACGGTACACCTCTACAACGCGCTCTCAGAAGCGATACCTCGTCCTAAAGGCGGTGGAAACAGATAAAGGTGGGTGTCCAGTGGCTTGAGCTAACAAGCTGGAGTCTAAGCCATAAATGCTGTGATATGAAGGAATGCCGAAATCCCGAATAGAAAAATACAGGTGGCGAAAGGGAATTAAAGTACCCTCCAAAACTGCTCCATTAGCTCCATTATCATGCGGAACTAATGCATAAACTCTGCCAGTAGTCGAAAACTGCTCTGCTGCTGGTGCTGGAGAATATGGGACAATCTGCCCCTGGGAAACCTCCTGAACTGCTGGAACCTGTCCTTCAGTCTTCCGCTGCTGCTGAGTTGGACCATTTCCCTTCTGAGCTCTTGTTGGTGCACTGCGGCACTCTAATGCCTTGTGTCCGACCTTGCGACAATTAAAACAAGATCCCCGGAATTTGTGCTGCTGCCTTTCTCTCTGATCCTGTTGGGATCCCTTCTTATGAGGGCTCTGCTGCTGTTGCTGAGGTCGATATAAGGGTCTCTTGTTCTTACCCTTGTCTCCGACGTGCCCTCTCTCAGCACTTCCTTCCTTGTCCTTCTGAAACTTAGCTGTCCCATTTTCTTGAGAAATGGCGGGTTCAGCTATTGGTGGTGGTGGTGGTGCAATGCGATTTGCCACAAGCTCCTCGATTGCTGCTATCCTAGCAACTAGGGGAGCCATAAGATCTACCAGGTACTGGGGAGCCTGCTGCGGCTCAGGTGGGGTTTGCTGTGGTTCAGCCTCTTCAGATCTCTAAGTACGTGACATATCATATTCTGACATCTCTGCTCAAAAGAAAATAAGAGTTTAGGAGTCAAAATAGACCTCTATAAATAGCGTATCACAATACAATTTTCACAACATAGAGTATTTGCACAAATACTTTAAACTTACAAAAGTATTTGCACAAATACTAGGAAATCCTTACGGACTCTATACATGAATCCTAGGAAACTCTATCCTAGCTCCACGACTCGACACAGGATGATCCTAAGGATACTGGAACTAGAGCTCTGATACCAACTGTGACGCCCCTGGGTTCACACAAGGCTGCAGTCCAAGGTGAAACCAAGAATGTCAAACCTGCCATGCACCACACCGTGCAATAACATGTTTCACCATCACAATTAACATCTATCTAGTAGAGTCAACAACTGGTGTAGGTACAAAACAGGTAAAAGATAATACATGATATACTAATGGAATGATAACAGTCACATAAATATCTCATCATCCCACATACAGAAATACACAGTTAAGATCTGAGTAGATAAACTGGAATACTCAACAAGTCTCAAATACAAATATCTGCCAAAAAGGAAATAAGGCACACAGCCTTTACAACTTCTAGAACAAGACTCCAAATGTCTAACTAAAAATCTACTGTGGAACTCCAAAAGAAAATATAACTAAAAGACGGCTGAAGCTAAAATGCATCGCCATCAGTCTACGACTCTCCGGGCTCCTGGCTCGTTACCTGAAAGGGGGAGGGACAACGAGCGTCAAAGCGCTAGCGAGTAACATCACAACCAACCCCAAGGGAACAGGGCTCGTTGTATAAGAAAAATACAGTGAATATATAAGAGATCAAAAAATCATTGTTCTTACTAAAGAGGGTTTTAGTATTTAGAAATTTACAACACGAGCATAGGTACGTCGAGAGAAATAATCCAAACAAGGAAACCCTCATGTATATACCTTACATCTCAAATTGTAAACTCCTAAATACCAAACCCAAGGTTCTAGTGCAGTAATAATAATAAAAGAAATACGACGAACACCAGAGCATGAAAACAGTGTTGTGACATAGCCCACATGAGTATCATGTTATTACTTACATGAATATCATGTCAAAATCTACATAAGTGTCATGTCAAACTCACATGAGTGACATGTCAGAAAACGATTAAGTGTCCAAAACCTAGACTATATAAATTAAACGTCCAACCCATAGACTGCATGATGTAAACGTCCAACTCATGAACTGAAAATAACCGTTGTCCAACGCATGGACCGGATGTAACCGTTGTCCAGCGCATGGACCGGATGTGATCGTTGTCCAACGCATGGACCGGGTGTGACCGTTGTCCAACGCATGGACCGTCACAGTCAAAACAGTGTATATATCCATAATTGGTACCCTCAGGTCTTCTATCATGCCTGGGTACATAGTAAGACCAAATACCAATGTCAGATAGTCCAGGAAATCACTCGAACCTGAACAAATATTCAAAAATGTACAAAACAGGGAAAATGCAACAGAGAGTGCGGCGGTCGACCGCACCGGTCGACCGCACTCTGATATGCTACTGGCGGTCGACCATAAAAACATCGCGGTCGATCGGAAATAAATCGTGGTCGACCGAAATAAATTGCGGTCGACCGGAAGAACGTCGCGGTCGACCGACAATAAATCGCGGTCGATCGAAGCCTCTACACGAGCTCAGCTGTCGACCGCACCGGTCGACCGCCGAGTGGACAGAAACCCAAATCTGGGTTTCTGTCAGCTCGAAACCTGAAACAAAAATCTTAAAAACGAATACCCATCTTTATGGAAATGTTATGCAGCAGTAAAACACGAATTTAAACCTTTAAAACTTGGTCAACAAGATCCCATATATATATATAAACATGATCTACCCATTGTTAACAATAAAAATAAGGTTTTTACTTCTTTTAAGCTAGATTCAGATCTAGATCTTTTAGACATGAACCATTGGTGAGTTTTAAGAGCAAAGAATACATTAATTTCATACTTTTATGCCATAATGTTCTATTAACTATTCAAAAATACGAATTTGGCTCAAAGAAACCCAATGAAACTCAGTTCTTGACATGAAAACAAAAGGGGTGGGGGTTGGGCGAGAAGTTACTCGCCTGAGGGGTGTAGATGAGCTCCCAAAAACAAGTGAGAAAGATCCTCCTTCGCTGAACACCGATGGATCTCGCGTCGACTCCTCCAAAATCCTCCAAGAATGGATCTAGGGTTTGGGAGAGAAGAGGGGGGCTGCTAGGGTTTGTAAAAACAGAAGAAAAGAGGTGATTTTCATGATATAACATGTATATATATAGCAGCAAACCCGAAACCCGAAACCCGAAACTGGAAATTCAGTCTGACTAGGAACATTCTCTTCGGTATTTTGGCTATAACCTTCTCATACGACCTCGGAATAAGGTGATCTAAGATTTGTTGGAAAGCTCTTGAAGAGATCTACAACTTTGGTATTATACACTTTTTCATATTCTTAATGAATCAGTAATAAAAACATAGAAACTCTCAACTGGTCAAAATTCCCAGATTCTCACTCTTGGCCTTTGTGCATGATTTGGGTATTTGTACTCACATATATACATATATACATTGAATTGATCTCAAATCAGTTCCTAGCATACTCAAACATCATAATTTATTATTTATAAATGTATAACATATTTATTATTATTTATCATAAAGTATTTAAATTTTTGGGGTTTTACAAAGACGTACGAGTTGAATGAGCTCACTACAGAATTACGAGAATTAGAAGAGCGTAGTGCTAGATGCCAAAAAAACCAAGGAGAAAGAGGATGACAGAAATGTAACTGAAGAAAAAAAAAATCAAAGAGGATATGGAAGCTAAGGAATATGAGAATTTGGAAGGAACTGGGGAAGCCGATTTATGTGATGACTTTGTGATGAGCGCAAGAGACATGAGAATTTTAGAAGATGCTCGGTGAGTTTAGTTTTTTAAATTTTCTTGCAATTTTAATTTTTATATTTTCCATATAATTCTTGTGTAACTCTTTGTTAATTATATGCCTTCTCGACTCTATAGAGATGTTTCTCAAAAAGATGAAGGTGGTAATGAGAATAACAGAGAAACACCATCTATCAAACGGGCTGTCGGAAAGAGGGAGAGGAAGGATGAACCCTCTGTTACTTCACCTTATATGCCTCTAGATCAACCAAAGGAAGGCACAAAGAAGAGACGTGTCATCCAGATATTGGATAGTCCTGATGGGAAAAAAAAGTACAAAAATGAAGAAGGCTTCATACCTACATCTAGAGACTATCCAGGTAAGGCACTGGCGTTTGATTATGAGAACAAATTAATTGAAGACTTTCTACAATCGAGAATGAACAGGTAACTGTTACTGACTTATTCTAATAATAATCTTTGAATTTACTTAATTCTAGTAGCAATTTTCTCACAATGTACTTGCATATAGTGATACATACATTTGGAAGTGTGCCGAAGCAAGCGTATCTCACTTAGATGCTTATATACTATTAACGGGAGGTGAACTCAGTGACGATGTAGGTTCTGAACAATTGGGTTATTGTTTGTTTGATGTTGTATATAAAATAATTTATATTAACTATTTTATTCATTCATGGTAAATTTTGTAGGTGATCGATGCATTTGTTATTCGGCTTTGTAACAAGATTGAAACAACTAATAGTTATGATCGAAAGATACATGTCACAAGACCTTGGCTTGCAGTAAGTATATCCTTGTTTTTTTCACTAATTGGTGGATATTATTATTATGTTATCCCACAATGTTGACATTATTGCATCTTTTAGCAAGCATTTCTAGAAGGAAATCTTGAAATGGTGGCAAAACGAATGAAGGAAAATGTTTCTCAGCAGAAGTTCTTGGAGTGTGAAAGAATTCTGATCCCGATTGTCAGCTCCGGACATTGGCACCTGGTAGAGTTAGTGAGAGAGGAGACAAAATTCTATCACTACTCCTCAATCAACTCCCCCATTTATACCGCCGATGCTGTGAAATTTATAAATAAGTTTATGAGTTTCATTGAGAGTAATTGGGGATTGGGGAAATTGGAGCATCATGGTCTTGTGTCAGTTGCCGTGCCACAACAAGGACCGTAAGTGTTTCATGCATTTCTAATTTAATTGTTCATTTTTTTGTTTCATTGTCATTTTCAATATTGTAATATTTTTCCCCTAAATGCAGAACGTTAGATTGCGGGATCTTTTATGATTGAATTCATTAACAGCATTGTCGAAAAACGGTCGATAACAATTTCAAAAGGAGATTGTGCAAAATATAGAGCAAAGTTTTGTGCTGCTCTTTTGTATGCACGCGATTCACCTTTTTTGTAAATATTATTTTAATTTTCTCCAAGGTTTTTGTTGTGTATTCAATGTTGTAAGTATGTTCATGTTGTTAATATGTTGTTAATTGTTTGCGTGTACATTTACAGACAACTACGTTGTTGTTGTGTGTTGTAAGTATTTTCATGTTAAATGAGAAGTGAACTAGGGCTAACATAGCCACCAGAGCAAACACTTGTGCTAGAAATAACGCCAGCCCGCAGTAGAATAACTCGAGAAGGGATAGAACTAACAGGAGGGCAGCTAGAACTAACAAGCATGAGGTAGGGCTAACATAGCCACCAGAGCAAACACTTGTGCTAGAAATAACGCCAGCCCGCAGTAGAACTAACTCGAGAAGGGATAAAACTAACATGAGGGCAGCTAGAACTAACAAGCGTGAGGTAGGGCTAACATGGCCACCAAAACAAACACTTGTGCTAGAAATAACGCCAGCCCGCAGTAGAACTAACTCGAAAAGGAATAGAACTAACAGGAGGGCAGCTAGAACAAACAAGCAGTGAGGTAGGGCTAACATGGCCACCAAAACAATAGAACAAACAAGCAGTGAGGTAGGGCTAACATGGCCACCAAAACAAATACTTGTGCTAGAAATAACGCCAGCCCGCGTTAGAACTAACTCGAGAATGGATAGAACTAACAGGAGGGCAGCTAGAACAAACAAGCAGTGAGGTAGGGCTAACATGGCCACCAAAACAAACACTTGTGCTAGAAATAACACCAGCCCCCAGTAGAACTAACTCGAGAAGGGATAGAACTAACAGGAGGGCAGCTAGAACTAACAAGCTGTGGGGTAGGGCTAACATGGCCACCAAAACAAACATTTGTGCTAGAAATAACACCAGCCCGCAGTAGAACTAACTCGAGAAGGGATAGAACTAACAGGAAGGTAGCTAGAACTAACAAGAAGTGAGGTAGGCCTAACATGGCCAACAGAACACACACTTGTGCTAGAAATAACGCCAGCACGAAGTAGAACTAACCCGAGAAGGGATAGAACTAACAGGAGGGCAGCTAGAACTAACAAGCGTGAGGTAGGGCTAACATGGCCACCAAAACAAACACTTGTGCTAGAAATAACGCCAGCACGAAGTAGAACTAACTCGAGAAGGGGTAGAATTATTCAGAAGGGCAGCTAGAACTTACATATCCAATAGAACCAAAACTTAAACTAGAACTTAAAGTTATCTGGAGGTGGAAATAACACGAGATCAGCTAGAACTATCACATTTAATCTAGAACTAACATAGTCATTAGAACACAACTAGAACTAACATAGGCATTAGAACCCACATTTAAACTAGACCTTGCGTTAGCTAACACGAGAATGGCAAGAACTAACACGGAAACGGCTAGAACGAACATTAACCCAGGTAGAACTAACATATTCAATAGATCCAACACTTAAACTAACATTATTCACTTGCACTTGGCTGTGAAGGTTACCGAGATATTATAGGTTTGACTGCATTCATTGTTTTTGCATAGTTCCCAAGGTTGAAGAGTTAACTCACCTTGCAAAAGTGCAGTCCCAAGGAGGAGAGTTAAGATAACGTGGTCCGGAACCTATCCCCACATCCCACGCAGCAATATCACCATCCCCAAAGCCTGTTCAACCCCAGGATAGGATTGATTACCTTTTTGGCGCAATCTTTTTAGGATCTCCCCATCGCCGACTCTCTGTAGACTCTTCCTCATTTATTTTATAAACCCCATACTTTTACCCTCTCCCCTACACCTTCAAGTTCCCCTGTATATATGGCGTTGTAAAATCATGGCTAGTTCCTGTACATCCGATGAAGGTCATGGCCTGCCTGGGACGCACGCTGATGTGGATCTTGGATATCCCTCACGCTGATGAAGATGTTATCCCCATTGTCTTTGCTCTTAGTTCCATCAGTGGGTGAATATACCTGGCTCCCTTCAAAGAGTTTGTACATTAACGCCCAGTTAAGATTCATAAGCGCATGGAATACGATCAATTCAGATGGGTCATGCGTGAATCACATGGGGAGGCATGCAAATGCTAGAGAGAATTGTCCTCTGGCATATGTTAACACTCTATAGCTATACAGTGTTAACGTAAGCCAGAGGACTATCTTTTTGCTAGCATTTGCATGCCTTCCTAGGTGATTCACGTATTGACCCATCTGAATTTATCATATTCCATGCGCTTATAAATCTTAACTGTTGTTATTGCACAAGCTCATTGAAGGGAGCCAGGTATACTCACCCAAGATACTATAACTAAGAGCAAAGACACAGATTGTACATGCAGTTGACATTACTTTAGTACAAGGTTGTTTTGTTAAGTCATCACATTTTATTGTAAAGATTATGGACTGGTTGTATTGTTATGTTTGGCGTTGTGTTGTCAAGCTTATGGACGGATTGTCAAGGTTATGTTTTGTTTTTCAACCTCTCCTATTGCGAAGCTGTTGTCAAGCTTATGGACTGGTTGCGTAGTTTAGCGCTCTGTTGTCAAATCTAATCTGTTTGTTGTTAAGCTTATCTGCTGTTTGCATTTAATTCTACTGTTGTTGTGAAGCTATCTGTTGTTTAGTCTTTGTATTATTAGGCTTATGGACTTGTTCACAAGTTTAGATCTTGGTTTGTATTGTTAGTTCCAGCTTAGTCTATATTCTTCTATTGCCCAGATTCGAGCGGAATCAGATAGAAAATGACCAGTTTGTGCCATGTTAGTTCTAAGTTATGCCATGTTAGTTCTAACTTATGTCTTGTTGGTTCTAACTTATACCATGTTAGTTCTAATCTACACCATGTTAGTTCTAATTGTTGTTTTCACTGTAATTTCTCCGCCCGAACTCGGAATGAGGTGATTTAAGATTTGTTGAAAAGCTGTTGAAGAGTCCTACAACTTTAGCAATTAGAACTAACATGGAGAATTGACAAACACTTGGGCAACGTTTTGTACCTCATTGCTATTTATAGATTCGTGTTAGTTATAAAATTGTAAGTGTTAGTTGTAGTTTAGCTCGCGTTAGTTCTACCTTATTGTTAGTTCCAGCTTAGTCTATATTGTTCTATTGCCCATGTTAGTTCTAGCTGTCCTCCTGTCAGTTCTATTGGACTACTTCGTGGTTCTGTTAGTTCTAACTCGATTCTGGTTAGTTTTAATAGAGTAAGTGTTAGTTCTAGTCGATACCCCGTTAGTTCTTTCCCATATTATGTTATTTCTAGCTTCGTGTTAGTTATAATACAGTAAGTGTTAGCTTTTGCTTAGACCGCGTTAGTTCTACCTCATTTCTTGCTAGCTCTAACTTCGCTTGTTCCCAAGAACACAAAACATTATCACTTTTTCAACCCAAAACATTATCACTTTTTCTAAACACCTAAAATATGTTTTAATTTTGGTGTTTTGGTTTTGAGTTTGAGAAGGTGTTAATATAATATCTAGCATAATATATTAAATGTAATTAATATAGAGTTAATATGTTAATGTAATATCTAACATAATTTATTGCTAAAATATGTTAATGTAAAGATAATATATTCATAATACCTATTTATATATATCATAAATTACTAATATATTATTAAATTACTATTAATAAACTCAGCCCTATTAAAGACCATAATATATTACATAATATTAGAATATTTATAACACGTTAATTTATTAGTAACATGCTAGTCATAACATAATATTAACATTATTAATAATATTATATTATATGAATGAGAGTATAATATTATATTATATTAACAATAGTATAATATTATATTATATTAATAATAAAATAAGGTTATTTTAAAAATATAATATAATATATAACCATAACAATTTGATATACCAAAATTATTAAATATATAATTATTTGAAAATAATATGTAATAATTAGAATATAATATAACTCATTATGTACAATAGATCCAACACTTAAACTAGAACTTAAAGTTATATGGAGGTGGAAATAACACGAGAACAGCTAGAACTATTATTGGAGAAGCGAGAACTTACAACAACTAAGCTGGAACGAACAAAGACGCTAGATCCAATACTTAAAGCTCTAACTAGCGCTAGCCGGCTATAGAACTAACATGAGTGCCCTT